GTTCGCTCACTTAGACAAACCGATTTTTTGAGCACAAACAACTTATGATGACAGCGAGAGAGAGTGCACTTTGATTCCGAAAGAGCAACGTCGGAAATCTAGCCGACTCTTTTTTGGGAATATTTCTCAAGGTAACCATTTCTGCATGTGTGACCAGTTTGATGCAGCATCTGATTTCCGAGGCTCATACCGAATTTGGCAGTAATGAGTAGTGTAGAGCTCCAGTATTTTCGAGTATTTTTAGGTCTAGGCTTGTATTTCTTTCACCATCTTGGTTGCTACTCTCCGTCTAAGTTCAAGTGCTTTTGTCGTCATGGCTTGCAAAAGCGGACGGTGTATACAGGTTGTGCGGTTGTGCATACTGATCGCAACCACAGAAATAGATGTGTTTTAAACGGTCTCAAAACTTTTTGAGTAATCCAATCTGTTTTAAAACTAATAATGACGATCTGACACAACGTGTGAAGCATCATAAGTCCACCCAGACAAAAATTCATGGATCCTCATTTGTGGCACTCGGTAATGCCCAATTTTCAAGAACTAGTGGAAAGTGACTCCTGTAAAGCGATAACAACTGTATGCGATGAATTTAGTGTTATTGTTGATAGACCACACAGGAGCTGCACCCAACATTTCCTGTACTTCTCTAATGTTCTGCATGTTCTGACGTCGTCAGTAACCGATAAAGCGTATGCCCGAAGAATGCCGGGTAGATCGTCTATAAATGAAAAAGGTTGACGCAAAGGTTTCTCAACATGATGTAGTTTATCCAAATGTCGACAGTCAGGATTCTTCTGCACTCACGTCAAGAGAAATTCCTCTGCAATTTTAGAGTCAATCGGTTTACTTATCGACGCGGAGTGTACACCGTATCCACCATTTCGCTTTTACCTAACGCTGACTTTTTCAATGGCTTTCCGCATGCACTTACCTTCCGGAATCCCTTACACATTTGTGCCGGCGCATAATGATCGATGTCTAATACATTTTCTGATCTGTCACAAATAATACTACTCTTGACGCGCAGTTTTCTTCCACATCACACGTAACTGAAATTAATAAGTGACCAGTGAGAATAATTTGTTAGCGAAATCTACCTTTGGAGTGGTAAAAAGTAACTCAAAGTTCTTTTTTTGTGTGCTACTGTTGTCTTAGGAATTGAGATATAACAAGTACATACACGCCATCAAACTTGGGTTGCGGTTGAAGGGTTTGGACTCTCGAGCCCAAGGCGCGCCAGTGACAGCGGTTTAGACCGCCTGGCCTCCATCACGAAGGATCCATGGGTCTCCGCTCTGCAGCTTCACGATATCGATCATACATTCGGAGTCGGAGATTGTTTCAGTTCCGATGAAGCGGAATATCTTCATTCTCACATGCTCTGCTTGTGTGTTTGATCGTCGCCCACGCGGTCCAAAGGTGCAGGTTAAAATCCATTTTGGTGCTCTTGATCGTTTTCCAGTGAAGGTGTACTGAGCATTTTCACTTAATCCGCCAAACAAAGAAATATAAAGCAAGCCTTTGATTTGTGTCGATGCTCCAACACTGAGAATCGCAGATACTTGTCCGACGCGTTCTTTTCTGTCTCATGGAAATCCTCTTGACTCGCTTGTTGAACTCTGACACGGTAGATACTACATCCGCATCTAGTGATTTCCGTCCAACAAGATTATTCATCTTGATGTTGGATCCGAAAATCCCAGGTATTTCCATTTGCTGCATCTGTTGACTCGGAGGATAAACCGAACAGACCATTACACTTCCTCATTGTGAACTTGAATTTACGTCCCCGACAGGGGTAGTGCACGTACACAGTCGGCGAGCGGTGTTGCTTCTGTTTCCACCAGACGAGTCCTTCCCGATTTCATATTCCAGAGCAGGAGCTGAATTCCATTGTTATGGGTTAGGTTGCAGCTCTAAACTGACAAGAATTGGTGGTTATCTTGAGGGACAATATCCTAAGCATTGGACATGAAAGTCACTCGCCGAGCGGTGGTGATCCATTGACAATAGTGTCCATCTCGCCCAATAGAGCAAAAAACGCACAATCAAAACGGCTACCACATACCCAGTAGTCCGCCCTAACGTAGATGGTTTAGTATGAGGGTTTGTCAGTTCCTCCAAACGAACTTGCTGTCCGTGACTTGTCAATCTAGTTTCAGGGATTGACTTTTTACCTACGCCATTCCATACGAACACTTCCGTCACACGAGAATTCAGTGAGTAAGATTTACAGAACAGAAAACTAGGAGGCTTTTCGAGATTAGTTACGTTTATCGAACCATCCCCACCACACTGGGTAGTTTAAGGATCATATGAAGTATTGGTGCCCGAACCATGGCATAATAATGGAATACTTCTCCCTGGTATTCCGTTTTCAAGGATAGTAAATCTTCTAACATCTCACTTTTCTAAAGTTAATCCGACGTCTCTCGGAGGTAAAAAATAAAGTCAATACAATCGATCGTTGAGTTATTTCCAGTTCTGAGATGTGTGGATTAGTTTAAAATGTAAATTAGTTGCATCACTTATCAAAAAAATCTTTCCCTGATTGAATAAAGAACAGGGATATCCAGCTCAATTTCGTCCCCATTGACTGGAATCATTGGCAGTGTATCAAATTTTCTACTTTTTCCTCGCTGCAACAACCCAGAAGGTAAACGATAACTGAGTGAACAGTAGATCCTTACGATTATGGAATTTCTTCCTTCTGTTGTTTTCTTCGCACAAAAGTAGGTAAGTTTGAATAAAATTGAGAAATCTTCAAATTCTCGGAATTGCCTTTTCAGTAGCAATCACGAGTCTCGCTGCCACCGCATCGAATCATTTGTGGGGTTTCAGTGTACGGACAAAGTCTGAATAACGACCCCTCTCATGCCTTTTATTCCAGACTGTCCGAGGACGGACGTCCGACTGTGGAAACCTATTTGACGGGTTCTGATTATCACCCGTCTCACATTTCCTCAGTATGTATCATTCGGACAGTCAACTGGAACACTCCTACACCTCCGATTTGTCCCCTATGCTCAAGCGCGTCCTCTCCTCCCGTGTGCTATACGCGGTCTCCCTTCCTCCACCCAGACGAAAAAATGGCATATGGAAGGTGAGGTGTTGTTTGTATATGAAGAACCATACAACTTGTGTATTCTATCCGTGAAATTTTTGTTCTGTCCCGTTTTGTCGGTTCATGTGATAATTAATCGGATAACCTCTCAGTATCTTTTGTCACACTCCGTAAGTGTCCCGTGAGTCTTTGGCTTATAACTAATTGATGGTACATGATGACGTTGTTTCTTCTGATGCTCTGGTGTACGCATATCAGAGAATTAGGGTTTGTCGCGGAAACGTAGCTGCCTGAGGTAAGTAAGTCAGTAGATGCTTTGATGGCAATGCTCTGCACACTGCCAAATCACTTGGAAATGATTAATCCGACGTTTCTACTCAAAATGCATATCTGACCTTGTGTTGCTTACTCGATAACTGAGAAAGACCCATTTAAGTTGACCCGTTTTTTCCTATTCCTTTGATCCTCTTAATGCGCCGCAGTCTATCACCCGGTAGCCGCTTCCACTCCTCTACAGAAAGTGCTGTAAAAATTTGATTGGTTCAGTATTTTGTTATTCTCTGTATTTCGATTTGTACATCGTCTTTCGCATTGACTTCCCTCACTGACATATGCCTAGTGTCTATACTATGCCTTGTGAAATTCAATAATACTCAGCCATATCACCCGATGTATCTAACTTCCATTGTGGCTATTTCCGAGGATTGCCGCTGGTTCGGGTTTTCCACGTCTAGTCATTTGCAGTTGACTTGCTCAATGAGGGTGGCAATTCGATTAGTTTCTTCACAAACCGATGTGGTATGCTCAGTGAGGCTGTTTGACCATACAACTGAGTGTTGATAACACCATTACTAGAATAATAATGGTGTTCGTAGTAAAAACAAACCGTCCAACCAGATGAGGGACTCAAGTGAATGGTCAAATTATGAACATTTTCATCTACTGCGCCAATTCCTTTGATTCGATCCCGAACTGGTGGTTGTAGTTTATCTTTAATCGTCATATTCCCTTCAAGAAGTGTTATATCTTAGATCATAAATTTAATGAAAGTAAAAATTCGCATTGTTTTAAGATGAATGCTGCGCTTGTCATAGATAACGTGCATGCTTCATGATCACACTAAACGAAGCTTTCTGTTCGACAAAAAGAAATTTTCTCCCTTATTCTTACGTCTTCTCCTTGAAAACAATCGCCCTGGGATCTGATTTGATCATTTCCGACAAAAGTTGACCATTTGGAACATCAATTTTTATAACAGTCAAATTTAAATCCAACTGACCGGACGATTTTGTCGGTAACATGAAGTTCATTTTGGTTGTGCAGATTTTTACCGACCTGGTGTACCTTGCAGTCAATCGATGCTGAACAACTAAATAATCGCTGTTCATCCTACTATTAGTCCATCCCAAGCAAACGGGGAACAACGGATCAGGAATTTCCATATAATGTCCAAGTTGGTCTGCGACTTATATAAGCTGATGAACATTCTAAATTTTCAAACTTCCCCCAAATAAAGAAGTCTAACTGGTAAACAATTCCTTTTTCGGTTTCTCATTCGTCAGCCAAATATCGCGCTCACCAAACAACGTAATGGAACCCACAGATATATTTCGATATCTCTCCAAATAACCGAATTAGACTGTCACTTCGACTGGTGAGAAAACGTCTGGAGTAATCCTGTCTTTCCGGGCATTTCGTCGACTCGCGTGGCCAGTTATGTAATTGTTGCATTCGGGCGTTGACAAATTGTCATAACTCATTTGGACCGGTGAACCGCTCAAAATTTCTCGGTCTGGAAATGCAACCGATTTATCCCCTCAAAAGGTTATGGTTGTTTTGATACTAAACGATCACCAGAGGCCCCAAATGATCGAAGCTAAAACAGCCGAGTTGTCATTTTGAATAGTTTTTCCCCCAAATTGTATATGGCGGTTTTCAAGTGATCCCCTGTCATCTCCATTCAAAACTTTCATCAATTGGTTTTTTAGTTTCTCTTCAGGAGTTTGATTTTTTAGGGGTAGAAAAAATTCGATGCACACCGACCCTCACCTCAATTACAGCCCAGCGGTCAGTTCGATCGTTCTTACCGATGCCAACGGGAATCAGTCAATAGACTCGCTATGATTTCCGTTGGTCGATACTAGGAGTTAGCAACCATTCATACTTATCATATGATGGTATAATTTTTATTAACCTAATCCGGCTTTGTTGCACCAACTTACATATACAAATGATCTCTCTGTTTGTTTTCGAGGCATTCTTTATGCGGCCCATTTGTGCAGACATTCTCATTGTCATAATTTTTTCAACCAGCATCGGGATCGTATGGACTTATACACCGTTCCGGTCTAAGCACAATGTTGCAGCCCATTTAACGGAGTCCTACCTACTCCGCTTCAGGAGTGTACTTCATGTTGCAGTCCGTATGTCAGTTTAATTATACGGCAACCTGCTTCCAATTGTGAGCCATCAAACTCGAGAATGGACAACTCCTTAGCATCATCGCATGATCTTACATGCTATCTTCGTGACCGGTTTGTAGGTGCACAAACCTGCACAGACATCATAGATGTTCTCTTGATATTGTCATAAGTCATGCCCACTTGATGCATATTTTAGATCACATGGGGCCTCCTCACTAAAACCCTTAAGATCATCCACACCTTGTAGCTGTTATCCAAGTACAAAAATTTTTCTGTTCGTTTCCTGACGCGGTCGCATTACTCCGTGTCGATTTGTTCTTCAGGACGACACTTGTTTCACTTCAGACCGGTGCAAAATGACTGATCTCATCGGTTTCACCCCCATACCTGAGTCCATCTAATCTCCCATGATATGTGATTGTCAAAAGATTCTAATACACTCTATTATCTGATTTCTCTCACTGCCTTCAAACTCTTTCCCCTCCTTTTTCATGATTTCTTCCCCCCGACAGTNATTATGCATTATGATAGTTCATATGTAGAAGCCTTCACCGGAGTGTTTTTATTTATTCCCCGTAGACGTTTGGCAGGTCATAAATAGATCCAGTACACAATCTGTTAAACACTGGTTTGTGCTAGCTTACGACTCTGACTGCCAATTGGTCGGAATTAGACGCTCTAAGCCCGAATCTATTGGTGTGTTTGTTTTCCAATCAATATTTGACCTTCATTTAAGAAACCCAGTTTTATGAGTGCCGGATCATTTTCACACAAATCCAGATATGTCGATAACAAAAAGGTCCACGTGTTGCACGCGTTTACCGACCGTGAAATTATTTCAAGTGGGGACCAGACGCCATAAATATAGTGGCCGGCAGGCAGCTTTTGGAAACTCTATCACCATCACCCAGCTTTCTCTCTTCACAGTCGTTGAATTCATCACCTTCCCTTTGTGAAGATTTGATTGTGCAATGATGACTGCTTTGAATCGTTTTAACACCAGTAATTGAATTGTTCCCGTCAGATGTTCCAAATCCGCAATGTGAAAGCGGTAGCAAAATATTAAGTCTATCACCTCGTGGACAATGCTCTTTTTGTTATTTCAGTTCCAATCGGGGCGCATTGATTAAGCGCTACTTTGGTTACAACGATAGCTTTTAATCCTGTGCAAATTATGAGAACTCAATGGAAGAAAGGGTTGCCTCTATGTAATGCACCGACTACGTAAGGCCTTGAACTCTTTCTACATAAAAATTCGTTAACAGTTTATGTCCACAAAGTCTTCATACACTTTCACTGAATCCTGGATCACATGTACAAGTGCGTTTGCATGGTTTTGTTTAACGTGTTTTACTAAAGGTAGCAGATAATGATCACCGCCGACTGACTCCAAGTATATCTGTCTCTCCTTTTGAATCCCCTCTTATCAGATCCAGAACTGGATTATCCTCGGTCTTTTTGTATCCGTCATCCTTCTGGTCTGGTTCACCCTGCATACGTCTATCCTGCCCACTTCGAATTCCCACTCCGATCGAGAAAAATTGCACACTTCCTTAGCCTCACTCGGCAATCCACAATCAGCGGATCCGCTCTCACTGCCCCATTCACCATCCGACAGTCGGAATACACTTTACGGAGTTGTGTTTGATGCCGGTAGTACAGGGACTCGAGTGCACGTGTTCGAACTGAATCGACCAGATCAAGGTGAGTCAAACAGTCATGCTTGAATAGATAGGCTTCGTCGATCTCTTCGCTTCGTAAGAGTTTTGTTTCATGAAGAAGATCACCAAGCTAGACCGAATCTGATCCACTCTATCCGGTACCCTCGGGCAGAAAATTATTCTAAAGTGAAAGCGAAATATTCGTAGTTGGTGAGGTTTAAAATATACTCTCCTGAGATCCCTGGGGTCCAAAAGTGTGGTTGGTTACCATTTTCTGGTGTATTTACACTGTGTTTAAATCACTTACTTGCTCTGCGTGTTTGCTGTAGTTATTCCACCTTCGGTCGTGGATCTTGGCTGCTGCTTGACTGTGCGGGATCTATATAACGAAACATTACATCTATACCATCTCTGTCGTTCAATTTAACTCTAATCCTGGCATGCCCATGCGCGAACACCCACACCGACGCCCTAATCCACTTTTCAATCTATAACTTTTCAACTCCAAGTGAATCCACCGTAACTTCAAGTGAATCCGTTGTAACTTCAAGTGAATCCAC